AGTAGTGAGTGTGCCCAGCCAGCAGCCAGCAATAAGGTAGCCCATAGTGGTCAGGAGGCTCCAGGGAGTCCTAAGTCCACCCAGGAGTGCTAGCATTTTAGGCCACTGATGTGAGTGGAGGCCCCCCACTCCATCCCTTTTTATTTATTGTAATGTGGCGACATTATGTTATAATGTAAATCCTTATGATCTGACATCTTTGTGTCTGACCATTATATAGAGGGGATATTTAGCAATGTTGGGAGACATTTCTGGTTGTCACAGTGGCCGGCATCTAGTGGGTAGAGACCAGAGAGCCCCCAAACATCTCACAATGCCCAGGGCAGCTCCCTCCCCTGCCACGCACACATAACAAAGAAATATCTGGCCCCACATGGCAACAGTGCTGAGGCTAAGAAACCCCGGTCTATAGAGAGCCCCACAAATGAAAGTGTCAGCACAGGAGGGAATCTATGCACTGGAGCCTGGCATCCAGAGAGGGGCAGTGATTTGCCTAAGGACGTGCAGGAAGCTATGATACAAATCACTGCTGACATTCGGGGGTCCCACCTGGTGAGTTAATGTTTTTCTTTTTCCTTTTTAAAAAGTCTAACAGTAATTTTTAGTAACTTGTAAATCACTTTTGTGACTGAATGCTCTTTTAATGTCAACCCAGCATAAGGAGGGGCATCCAGCCTGGGAAGCACCGTGGTTGCGGACCCAGATGCAGACAGAAGGGAAGTCATGGTAGCTTGTGAACAGGGAGAGATTTCAGCTGTAGCCAGTCCGGTAGTCCTTGCACAGGTGGGAGTGTCCTGTTGGGGCCCTGCCACCTGGCAGGTCTTTCTGGGGCTCAGCCAGATGAAGGAGGAAGGCTTCAATATCCAGATTTGCCCCAGGATAAGTGGCCTTGTGGGAACCAGGCACTAGCCGGGGGCAGGGACACCAAGGGAGCTTGGCAGGGGACAAGAGCAAAGACTGGGGCTGGAGCCACTCCAGAAGGTGATAGTAAGGGACCTGGTCCTCTGCAAGAACAACATTCTTCAGAGCCCCTTACTCATAGCCTCTCCTGGCAGTCAAGAATGAATGAATTGGTATATGAACTAATGTACAATGGATGAATGAATGCATGGTAGAGGCAGCAGGCTCTGGACTGCTCAGTGGGATTCAGTGCAGACTTGTTAGATGGGAAGAATCCCCTGAAACAGTTGCTGACACCCCTCCCTGGAGATTTCAATTTAGTAAGTCTGTGTAGGGCCTGGCCCTCCAGGATTTTTGCATCAGGCACATCTGGGAAATACTTGGAGTAGAGTGGAAACGCAGCGGAAGGTGTGTGCAGGCAGCACCTGGCCTGGTACTCCCCTGCGTGTGACCTGGGTGCACGCTGCCCTGCGCCCCGCTTTGCTGGTGGGTCAGATGGTATGTAGGGTTATCATTGTGTGCCTGGTAGTGCCCTGTCCCTTGGTCCTTGTGCTCATAATAACAACTACAGTAACAATGATGGCGTCAGGTGGATCCAGACACAGCACTGCAGCTTTCAGCTGACTAGCTGTGTGACTTGGGCAAGCCCCTTAATCTCTCTGATTCTGGGCTCCCTCCTCTGTAAAATGGAATTAAGAATAATCTCATTGAGGAGCTTCATGATGAGGTAAGGAAAGTGCCTGGCACAGTGCCAGGCTGCTAAGAGATCAGTAAATGTCCCATCCCCCAGCCCCACCCCAGTTCTTTCCAGGAACTTGAGAGACTCCTCCCCCTGTGTTTGAAAGTGGCAAAGTCTGACACATTTGCCTCATGACACTGACTCAGGGCAGATCCTGGGGCCAGCAGGTCACACAGCCCCAGGCCAGCCTGCCAGTGCCTTTCGCCGACCCCTGGACTCCAGCAGATGCCCAACTCCTTCCCTTCTCAGACCTGCCTCAGTCTGTTTAGCCTTGGCTGCTAAAGGGCCACTCAGGCCTCACCAGTCTGGACCCTCACCTTACAAATGGGAAAACTGAAGCCCAGAGAGGGTCTTTGATATCCCTGAGGTCACACAGCAAGTTCCAGCGTCTCTTCCTTCCCAGAGTCTTTGTCCCAAAGAGTGGTGTCTCTCTGCTAAATAGATGGTTCTGTTCTTTCCCTTCTTCCTCTTCCTTCCTTGGCTTGTCCTCTCCCTCTTATTCTGTTTGTCTCGTGGTGACTCCCATAGTGCCTCATGTAGACCCCCACTTCCCCTCTCCAGACTCTCAGGCTCGGGAAGTGACGAGTTTCCTGGGAATCCACATCACGATGACTCGTTCCTTCTATGTCTGGGCCCAGCTGTGGCTGCCTCTGGGATGGTGGATGAGTTCCTTCAGGGCTTTGTGTGAACTGGGCCTGAGCCAAACCCCTAGAAGGGGAAAACAGGCCACATTGTTCAGGAGCACAAAGGATGTTAGCAAGAAAAGACACGTGACCCATGGCCGCCCACACACCCACATCTCTCCACACCCCGTGCCGTTTCTGCCCCGCCGCTGTGTGCTAGGCAGTTTCCTCTACACAGTTTCCCTTGAGCTGTTGCTCTGAGGTCTTGTGCCTGTTGTCATATTTTAAAGCCTCAGTTTTATCGCCATTTCCCAGGTGGCCTCTAGCGCACTCAAGCTTGAGAAGCGCTGGTGTGGTTCAGGAGCAGCGCCCCTTCATTCTCTAGCACACTCTCCCCAGTCCTCTAAGTTGAGCATGAGCTCTGTCCAGAGAAGGCCTCCAAACAGACCATGTGGACGGCAGGGCAGGCCGGTGACCCTGCCTGTTGACAGTGGAGGGACAGATTCTGCTTCCCGCATCGTGACCCTGGGCAACTCACATCTCCTCTCTGAGCCTCAGTCTTCTGTGGTTGCCAGGGGAGAACGTGTGAAAGGGACCACATGATGTTCCAGGAGGCCGCTGGCCATCTAGAAGGAGAAGCAGGCTGTGGGGAAGGTGTTAGCCACCAGAAGGCTCTTTCCTGGGGCACACGCTAAGGTCGTGGGCTGCATGCAGAGAAGGAGACAAAGGCTGTCCTAGAGCTGTCCAAAGTGGGCCTGAACTAGCCACGAGCCGCCCCTTTCCCTAATACAGCTCGCATCTGTTCTATTTTCAGGTCCCCTTCCCATCCTTTCCAGTGGCAGTCAAGTGAAAGCAAGTTGACTGGCCTGTGTGATCAGAGCAGAGCAGGCTATCCATGTGGGAGGCGAGGCAAGGAACGCAGGGCTGGGGCACTCACAGCTGGGCCTCTGGGCTGCTGGAGGCCTGGAGTGGTTGTTCATTCTTCTGGCTCAGTGTGGCAGTGGCAGGCAGGCTCTGGATTCAGCCCACTGGCTTCAAGGCCTGGCTCTGCCACTAACTAGCCGTGTGACTCCCAGTTATCAAATGGTGCTTGGCAAGTCACACCAAAACTTACTGGTTCTAACAATGTCAATACTTGTTTCGCTCAGCCACCTGCAATTTGGGCAGGTGCTCTGCAGCAGGACAGGCCGTCAGTTAAGGCACCTTGAAGGCTGGAACCATTGGAAGGTTTGCTCACCCACCTGTCTGGTGGCTGGTGCTGGCCTGCCTTGGCCACATCACTATCTCGGTGGCTCTCCGCATGGTCTCTCCAGCATGGTGGCTTTGGGGTGGCCAGATTTTTTTTTTTTTTTTTTTTTTTTTTGAGATGGAGTCTCACTGTCGCCCAAGCTGGAGTGCAGTGGCACAATCTCAGCTCACCGCAATCTCCCTCCCAGGTTCAAGCAATTCTCCTGCCTCAGCCTCTCGAGTAACTGGGACTAGCCACTGCGTCCGTGTAGTTTTTGCATTTTTAGTAGAGACAGGGTCTCACCATGTTGGCCAGGCTGGTCTCAAACTCCTGGCCTCAGGTGATCCGCCTGCCTCAGCCTCCCAAAGTGCTGGGATTACAGACATGAGCCACCATGCCTGGCTGGTGGCCGGACTTCTTATAGAATTCCTGTCCCAGACAGAAGTCAGAAGTCATACAGCCCAGCCCATACGCAAAGGGAGGGGAGTTTTTTTCCATCTTTTTTTAAGAAGAGTATCAAGGAATTTGCAAACTTGTTTTAAAATCATCAGAGTAAGCCTGGGCATGTTACTTGTCTGCGTTTCGGATATTTCCTTTGTAAAACTCAGTTAAATGCAGTGCTCCCTCCTCACTGTTAGTTTTCTGTGGCTGCCGTAAGGAAGCCATCAACTTAGTGGGTCACAGCAACACAGATGTATTCTCTTACAGTTCTGTAGTTTCCAAGTTCAGCGTGGGTCTCACTGGGCTAAAATCAGTGTCAGTGGGGCTCGGTTTCTTCTGGATGCTCTGGGGAAGAATCCATTTCCTTGCCCTTTCTGGCTTCTAGAGGTTGCCTGAATACCTTGACTCACGGCCCCTCCCTCCATCTTCAAAGCCAGCAACAGCCTGTTTTCCTCACGTGGATTCACTCTGACCTCCACATGTAAGGAGCCTTGTGATCAAGTTGGGCCCACATGGGTAGGCCAGGCAATCTCCCCATTTGAAGGTTCACTGGTTAGCAATCTAAATTCTGCCCGGAATTTTCATTCCTCTTTGCCGGGTAATGTATTCACAGATCCTGGGGACTAGGGTGTGGACATCTTTGGGAGGTCATTATTCTGCCTGCCACAATAGAATTGTTGGGAAGATTAAACAACATAATATGCATGACGGATTTTGAGGCATGTCTGGCACCCGGGAAATACTCAAGACGTACTAATCATTGCTCCTACACAGTGCAGCTCCCGAAGGAGCCCAGGTAGGCTTTTGGCACAGACTGAAACTATCAAGTGTGAGGAGGGACCTAGTCCAATCTCTTCTTTTCAAAGATGATATATTTGAAGCCCAGGGAGGGATGATAATTTGCCCAAGGTCACACAGCCATTCAAGGAGGAGTTGCTCCCTTGCCAGCCCCAGACCCACCCAGAGGATGCTGGGTCATGTAGGGGTGGGCACATGTCTTCCTGGCCAGATCCTGCAGCTCCTGAAAGGCAAGCTGGTGGTGGGTCATGACCTGAAGCACGACTTCCAGGCACTGAAAGAGGACATGAGCCGCTACACAATCTATGACACATCCACCGACATGCTGCTGTGGCGTGAGGCCAAGCTGGACCACTGCAGACGCGTCTCCCTGCGGGTGCTGAGTGAGCGCCTCCTGCACAAGAGCATCCAGGTGAGAACCTCCTTGTCCTTCTCCCCCTCTTCCCTCTCCTCCCCCTCGTCTTCCCCCTCCTCCCTCTCGTCTCTTTCCCTTCCTCCTCACCTGTCTTCATTTCTTCTCCCTCCTCTCCCTCCTCCCCCTCCTCTTCCTCCTTCCCCTCCTCCTTTCACTCCTCACCCTCCCCCTTTGCCCTCCTCTCCCTCCCCCACCGCCCTCCTCTCCCTCCCCCTTTGCCCTCCTCCCCCTCCCCCATCTCCTCGCTCTCCTCCCCTTCTTCCCCTTCTCCCTCCCTGTCCCCTCCCCTTCTTCCTCCTCCCTCATGCCCTCGCACACCTTGGCAGCCTGCCCGAGGCATTGATGGTAGGTCCTGCTGTGCCTGGTCCCTGGGCTGGTAGAGTGAGGATGAGGGCAGGGAAGGAGAAACACCCAACAAAGGTTTGCTTTTGTTGTTGAAATCAAGCCAGTCACCCTGTGGGAAGTGAAGCTTGCTCCCACCATAGAACTCTGGGCAATGGTGTAAAACACACACCTCACCTCAGATGTGTCTCACAGCAGGAGCCAGGGAACTGGTATATTTGTACACCAGTTCCCATCAACCTCCAGCTGCTGCTGCTCCTGGGCACTGATTCCACAGCACTCCTGGCTGGTGGGCAAAGCCGGCAGGAAAAGGCATGCAGATGTGGGGCGTTGGGAGTTTACCCTGTGGGAAGGGCAGAGGGAGAGGGGCCAGACACTAAGAGCCAGGGCTGTACACAGGGACCCTTCAGGTCAACGGCTCTTTGTTAAACACCTGCTCCATGCTTTAGGCCAGATCCTAGAGACACATGGTGAACAAGACCCGTCTCTGTCCTTGAGCTCTTGGTTGGTTGGGAGGTGGCCCTTAACCAGGTCATCAGCACACATGGTAGGGAGTATCTGATGGAGGGAAAGGCAGTGCCCTGGGAGCAGGATGAAGGATGGGGCTGGCAGGGCAGGAGACCAGATCTGAACAGAGCCTGGAGGGTCTTAGTCAAGGAGGGCAGAAGGCATACGGAGTGGGGCCGGGTGAGCCAAAGCCTGAGGCTGGGTGAGGGGCTGGGGAGCACGGAGCCCACCCCTCGCCTGCTGGTAAGAACTTCAGGAACCATGTCCGGAGCAGGGAACAGGCCTGAGTCTGGGCCTGTTAGCCTTGAGGCACATGAGGCACATAAGGGCCAGGCTGGGGTTTTCCTGGAGCCCTTGTCACTCTGTGGTTCTCAGTCTGGGGCCTTGAGCCTGACCCAGGGCCTTCTCTTAGGCTCTGTCCCTGGGCTTATTAAGCCTGGTTGTTCCAGAAGCTCAGTACCCCACCACGCAGTTCCTGCCTGCACTGATGCCCCTAGAAACCAGCTCTCCAGCCCCCCTCACATGGACAGTGGTGCTACTGATCACTGTGACTAGAACTGACCCACAGGACACAAGGAGCTAACATGGTAGAGCTGTCACAGTTGGGCAGTGGTGTTACTGCCCCTCGAGGGGGTGAAATGGCAGGCCTGTGGCTCCCCGCCAAGCTGCGTGCATGGTAGACTAGGCTGCATAGGAAAGGAAGGACCCTGCCATTTACCAAGCCCTGTGGAGGATGCTGGGCACTTGGCATCTCTCATTCCATCCTCTAAGGCAGGTATAATCAGGCCCATTTCACAGAAGAGGAAACAGGCCCAGAGAGGAAAAGTGGCTTACCCACGGTCACAGAGCTCATAAGCAGGGGAGCTGGGAATTGGAGCCTGGGTTTGTCTGATTCCAAGTCCAGGGCTCTTTACCTCCCCACTTGGTAATAAAGGATGCTGGTGCTGCATTCTTCTTCTGTTCTTGGCTTCCCTCTCTATAGAACAGAGTGGTAGGGCACATAACCTCCCTGTGCCTCAGTTTCCTCATCTGTCAAGCAAGGATGGTGACGGGCAGGTATTCAGAGGCACAGCGCGGATGACACCACCATGCTACCTGCTTGTTGATTAATGATAGAGTGTCCAAGCCAAAAAATAAACATTAAAAAATAAAACAGTACAGCATAATAACGGCAACGAGAAAAAGCCTTTCTGAGCTAGGCCGCCTAACCAGGTATTCCCAACACCCTGTCTGGAGTGCCTGGAAAAGGAGCCCCTGTGAGAACAGGATGGCCTCTCTCGACAGAGGGACACCAAGAAAATGCAGCCAGGTCCAACAGCCCGCTGGCTCCCATGCTGGGTACTAGCCAGGACACCAGGGCTGAGCCGGGGATGCAAAGGGAGATGAAAGGTGACTGCAGTGAGGATTTGCCCAGCGTACTTGCCTCTGCAGGATCCACATCTCAGCTCCACAACTGGCTGGCTTGTGTGTGAGCCTCAGTTTTATCATCAGTAAAATGGGGGAATAATCATATCCAGCTCAGAGGTTTAACTTCAGCCTAGTGCATGGAAGACGTGGTAAATGGTCATCGCTTCTCCCTTGAATGGACTGAGGGCCCCCTGACTCCCATAGTACTACCGCATAAAGTCTAGGCTCCCGACTTCGGCATTCAAGGCCTTCAGTGATAAATCCAGGCCCACCATCTGTCCCCACACCATCTTTCACACACCCCCTGCCCCCACCCTCTCAGGTCTCTTATTTTAGCTGCGCATGCTCTCCCTGCCTCCTAAATGCTTACAGCCTTTCCTTTCCATTTATTGATGTCCTTGTGTTCTCTCTGAGCAGCCCTTCCCCGTGTCCCTAGCTGGAGTTCCTCACTCCCTCCTCGGTGTCCTGAAGCTCCTTGTTAGAGCTGCTGGAGCCACTGTGTGTGTCTGACAGCAAGTCTGCAGCCTCTACTTACCTTGCGGGACCGCAGGTGACTTGAAGGCACAGCCTGGTTCCCAGGAGGCTGGATTTTGTGCCACTGGCCCGAGGGCTGAAGGCAGGCCAGCTCCAGCCACCTGCTGAATCTCCTAAGTCCAGAGTGTCAGAGACCTCAAGAGACTCACACCCACTGACCCACCTGGGGACTCTGGAAATCGGGATGTGACCAGGGAAGACCCCGTCATGGGGCCTCTGAATTCAGCTTCATCCCAAGTCCCCACTCTATACTTGTGTCTGCAGAACAGCCTGCTTGGACACAGCTCGGTGGAAGATGCGAAGGCAACGATGGAGCTCTACCAAATCTCCCAGAGAATCCGAGCCCGCCGAGGGCTGCCCCGCCTGGCTGTGTCAGACTGAAGCCCCGTCCAGCCCATTTCCCAGGGACTAGAGGCTTTCGGCTTTTTGGGACTGCAACTACCTTGCTTTTGGAAAATACATTTTTAATAGTAAAGTGGCTCTATATTTTCTCTACGCCATCACTGGGTCCTCTTCTTATTCTTCTCTCCAAGCTGGGTTAACAGTAGACAGGACCCATTTCTGTGTGATGTTAGGAGGGAATGAAGTCTTATGCTGGGGAAGTGGGCAAGTGTCAATTTCCTTAATATCTTGAATCCTGTGGGTCCAAAATGCAGCTTGGGAATCTAAGAAGCATGTGGCCTAATTACTAATCCCACCCTTTGCTGTTGCATTCTAGCCCTATTCCTGGTGCATTTATGCCTAGAAAGGTGATGTTATTTCCTGGGGTGGCATTCAGCTCCTCTTGATTTTGGTGCCACAGCATTTGTGGACTTTGAAGTGAAGGTATAGGAAATGTCAAGGGTGCCACCCCAGCAACCTTGAGCCAGTCACCCCTCCTCTTATTTGTAAAACGAGGAAGGAAAGGTAATGAACTGTGGAGTCAGAGAGAAGTAGGTTGGAATCCTGTCTTCGTCATTTAGTAGCTGTTTGACCTAAGGTGACTCACTGAACTTCTCAGTTTCTCTATCTGTAAAATGAGAATTCTAACAACTCGTAGGGTATTTGTGAGACATTGCATGCGAAGCCCCCAGCACCATGCCTGTCCTAGCTTAAGCACCCACCAGGTGTCAATAAGTAATTGTTCTTCCCTGGACTGCCTGCAGATCTAGGGTACCCCAGGAAGAGTCACAGCACTCTGTTTTGGGGCTCGGCTCTCTGAGGGGAGGGCATACTGTATGGGGAGGAGGGGTCTGGACCAGAAATCAACTGCAGAATTCTTGTTATTTTCATAATAATTAGTAGTTTAGTGCTTACACTAAATAAAAATCACTGGAATGGTGTCCAAGCAACTTTTTTTTGTTTTGTTTTGGTTTTGTTTTGTTTTGTTTTTGTTTTTGAGATGGAGTCTCACTCTGTCACCCAGGCTGGAGTGCAGTGACTGGATCTTGGCTCACTGCAACCTCCACCTCCCGGGTCCAAGTGATTCTCCTGTCTCAGCCTCCCAAGTAGCTGGGATTACAGGCATGCACCATCACACCCAGCTAATTTTTATATTTTCAGTAAAGATGGGGTTTCTCCATGTTGGCCAGTCTGGTCTCAAACTCCTGACCTCAAGTGATCCACCCACCTCAGCCTCCCAAAGTGTTGGGATTACAGGCGTGAGCCACCGCACCTGGCCAAGCTGTTCCTTTTTTTAACCTCCACAGGTGATTCTGGTCCTAGGGTACTTGAGTCACCTGCGGTGCTTTCTCAGCCATCCCAGCACCTGAGCATGGTCCTCTGACACTACAGTGAGCATCTGCATCACCTGGCAGATGCTGGGTTCACCCCCAGAGTTTGAGACCCAGTGGGTTGCAGTGGAGCTTGAGAATGTGCAAGTTCCCCATTCTAACAAGTTCCCCACTGCTGTTGTTGCTGCTGCTGCTGCTGCTGGCCCAGGGACCATGCTTTGAGAGAAGCACTGCCTAAGCATCAGGTGTTAGGATGTGCAGCCACAGTTGAGAGTTGGCCCCAGGGCTGGGCGCCACCAAGGTGCACTCAGTCACAGGTCCAGCCTCTCCCCATGCCACCTCCCTTGGCTCCCTGTTCAGGCAGAGAGGTCCACAGCCCGGCAAGATGGGTCCCAAATGGCCCACTGCACAGAAGAGGGACTCGAACAAGGTTAAGAACCCAAGAGATTCCAATCCAGACCTGCCCGATCCCCAAACTCAAGTGTTTTTTCCTCTCAGCTGTCCTAGGATGGCAATGCCTCCCATCTGAGCCATTGACCTCTGGCAAGCTGGAGGGCCCACTCCCATGTCTGGAAGAAGGGAGAGATGCAATCTGCTCTCACAGGGTTCTCTCCCACCCTGTCCCCAGAGTTTCAAGGTGATGACCTAGCCCTCTGCAGCTTTATGATTTCTTATGTGCCTTCAAGGCTGCTGGGTGCATTGGCCTTGTCTGGCTGTGATTGGCCACCAGGTGGTGGCCTTGGGCCGTCTGTCCTCCCGAAAGCTTTGAGGGCAGAACCTGCATAATGAACATTTTGGGATGTGGTGTGAGGGACAGTGTCTTCAAAAATGCCTAGGGGACTGCTCCAGGGATCCTCTAGGCAGTCTTCAGTCAGCCACAGATGCTAAGGCTCAGAGAGGGGCTGGAGCATGATGCAGCCTGGCCTGGGAGGTGAGCCCAGGCTTATCCGACTCCCGGCCCAAGGTTCTGTCCATGGCTTCAGGCTTCCTTGATAGGAGACACAAACCAGGTTTCCTGAAGGCAGAGCATTTCAAAGGGAATCTCCAGCCTGACTTGCTTAGATGCCCTGGGGGGAAAGAAAACTGAGGAGGTGCCCATCACCCCCACTCCCAGGCAGGCAGGACCCCAGAGAGCAGCAGGTGCCGCAGTCACGTAAAACACAGGCAATGAGCGCTCTAGAAAGAGCACCAGCTTTAGAGGCAGCTGACCTGGGCTGAGGATCCGGCTTGAGTCATGGCAGACGAGTGTCTTACTTCTGTGACACTCAGTATTCCCAGCCACTGTGTGGGCTTTCCTGCCACGCAGGGCTGAAAAGAAGATTGAGAGTCTGTATGTAAGGTGCCCAGCACTGGGCGGGAGGCGGGGGCAGGAGGGGCAGGGGCCGATAAACAGCATCCATCACTACTGATATAAAAATCAAGAGCTGCCTTGGGGCTGCCCCTCTAGACTCCTCAACACATTTGGAGTTGATGCCTGCAAATGTGGGGTTTATTCCGATGAGGTTTGAGGATGGGAGAAAGGAAGGCGATGTTTATTGAGGTGGTAATGTCTAGCCCACGGGCAGCCCTATCTGGGGTTCCAGTCAGGGCAGGCAGCTCAGGCTATCTGGTGTTCCCTGAGCCCACGGGACAGCCTGCGTCTTAGCAGGTACTGCTTCCTCCTCCTGCAGCTGGCCCAGCTGAGCCTACAGGGTGCAACTAGAGAGGGAGAAAGGTGGGTATATTCCGGGCCTCTACTCCAAGAGTCACAGATGAAAATGCCTCAAGGGCCAGTCCTGAAAAATGAATGACTGAACCAGACCAGCTGTGCTGTGGGGAACAGGGAGTGTGTACCTTGCTGGAGCAGGCAGTTGCCACTCAGCCCCAGCTTGCTGTGGCCATGCACAAGTGCTGGCCATTGTGCACATTGTCAGGGCTGCGTCTGGCCCACAGGCCACCAGTTTGAGACCTAAACTCCAGTCCACCTCCTGACTCTTTCTGACTGGGAGGCATCTACCCTTGTCCTGGATGTGTCCAAAGACAGAAAATCAACTTCTCAAAAGCACTTCTCAGAGGGTGCAGGCCTGGGATTTATGTATAGCAAGGTTTGTCCCCCTCAAGCTCACACCCACAAGAAATTCAATCCCACTTTAATGGGGTGACCTGTGACACATCTTCAAATGGTTTTCATGTCACCATCCTCTCCCTTGAGTCTTTGACTTTCCAGGTTAAATGTACTCAATTTCTCAATGTTTTCCTTTTATGTGAAGCCCCTCCCGATTTCTCCTCTACCCCCCACCAGCTAGCCCCCTACCCATTCCTACACCCTGGCTTCCTTGTCCCTTCTCTCCCCACTCTCCCCAAGCCCCACTCTCAGTGGGTCCTTAACAAATGGGGAAAAGGTGGAGAGAGAAGCAGGACCCAGGTGAGCTGAGGGAAAGAGCAGCATGCACCATCCAGCCGAGGCTGCTGGAAAGACCCGCAGCACTGGCGGGATGAACGAAGGTGCCAGGGACAAGAGTCACCGCCTGCTGACTGTGCAGGCATCAAATAGACTTTTTGGGTAGCTGGAAATAACAGTCTGAAAACCGGCCCCACCTTGCTGAGCACACCTGAGTCACCTGTGACTCAGACCCAGACTCCTGGGCTGACCCAGTGACGGGACTGGAAAGGCTACCCCACCCCTCTCAGTCCCCTTGTCCCTCCCCACTTCCAGCCCATCTCAGCCAGAATGGAGAAAAGTGCTTCTATTCAGGGGTGTACTCGTGCTCCTCCTACCCTGAACTGCTAAATGTTCCGGGCACATCCCAGCCCCTGCCTCCCCACTGTCCCCCAGCCCATCCGAAGGCCCATTGTTGTCTCCAAGGGTGTCAGCCAGCCCTGTCCCAGTTCCAAGAGTGGTAACCAGTGAAGCCCAGCTTCCTGTCCAGTGTTCTGCGGGCTGGGCCAGGCACTGCAGCCAAGAGGCTTACTCACTGGTGGAACAATTTCTCCTCTATATGGAAAGAACATATGCTTTTCCTGCTGGGGGATGAGAGACTCTCGAGTGGCTTTGCCGAGACGTGGGGGAGAAGGCAAATGCTGGCCTGGCCCCAGCACCCTGATTTACAGCAATGTGTGTCTTGTGGCAGAAGCTTCAGGCCTCTGCTCCCAGGCACGTGGGGAGGCCCAGGGAACACTGCTTGGAACCCTTGGTTTTAGGACACTGATCTGGTCCCCTCTTTCAGGGCTGGATGTCCTGAACTCCTCATTCTCCTAATCCATTCTCCCAATTTTAGGGCTAGAACAGAGTGGGAAGATCTGAACTTAGTTCTGCCAGAGCCCCTCTCCAGCCTTGAGGTCCCTCCAGAATGGAAATGTCAGTGCCTACCTCAGAGGGTGCTTGTAGGGTTATAGGGACACACAACAAGTGCTTAAAAGATAACAACCATTGTGTTGTTATTAATGTTGTTCTCCTCTCAATACATATTTACTCAGCATCTCCTGTGTGCTGGGTGATGTACTAGGCCCTGGGGATGAAGGTAGAGGAAGAGCTGGCTGTTTCCCCCAAGCTGCTACCTGCCCCCGCTCCACCCCCCTAAACATGTTCATGTGCATACACTAGCAGGGCGTAAGGCACAAATAATACGAGTCTTCAGATGATTTCAGCCTTGACCAACATCTTGACTCCAACTTTGACAGACTCTGAGCCAGAAACACCCAGCTAAGTCACCCCAGATTCCTGACCTCAAGAAATTGCACAAGATAATAAAGGCTTAATGCTGTTTTAAGCCGTTACGTTTTAGGGTAGTTTTTAATGCAACAGTAGATAACTAATGCACTATCTATATACTAGAAACCCCAAAAGACTAAATAGAGTAGAGAAAATATTTGAAAAAATAATAACCAAGAATTTCCCAGAATACAAAAGAATGCATGTTAATATGGAAATAATCCATTGCATTCCCAACTAAGTCTGTAAGTAAAAATTCACATCTAGATACATTTCAGTGGAATCTTAAAAATCTGAAAGTCAAAAATGAAATTCTTTTGTCTGTAATGTAGAGGCTGGAAAAATTGTTTCAATAAAGTTCTATAAGCTTCCAGAGAGGAAAAGATCACCTACAAAGAAGTAAGAGTGAGACTGATATCTAACTTCTCAACAGCAACATTGAATGCAGGGAAATGGAATAACATCTTCAAAGAGTAGAAGGAAAAGAACTTGGACCTGCAGTTCTATGTTTAACTAAGTTTTTGTTTAAAATGCAAAAACAGTCATACTGGAAAATGGGAGTTTCATAAAAAACTAAACATGCAACTACCATACAACCCGGCAATTGCATTCCTGGGCATTTATCCCAGAGAAACAAAAACATATTTCACACAAAAATCTGTATATGGATGTTTATAGCTGCTTTACTCATAACAGTAAAAAACTGGAGACAACCCAGATGTCCTTCAATGGGTGAATGGTTAAATAAACTGTGATGTGTCCATACCACGTAATTCTACTAGAATAAAGGGAAACTATTTATACACCTAACAACTTAGATCAATCTCCAGATAATTATGTTGAGTGTAAAAGTCAGTCCCAAAAGGTGTATATTGCATGATTCCACTTAAAAAATTTTCCTTAAGTGACAAAATTATA